TGCTTTAACATACATACATATATAATAACATCAAATGCACATACTTTCACATACACATACCACATATATACCAAATACACATATATTCTCAATACATATATCAAATAAACAATAACATCCTACTTATCCCAAAAACACATGTTTTCACATACATACATAATAACATCAAATACACATACTTTCACATACACATACCACATATACACCAAATACACATACATTCTAAATACATACATGAAATACACAATAGCATCCTACTTATACCAAAAACACATATTTTCACATACATACATAATAACATATTACTTATACCAAATACACAAAATTTCACACACATACACCAAATTCACATATACCACATATACACCAAATACACATATTTTTGAAATTAATCTCCAAAATTAATAAATAGATAATATGGTGGCCAAAAGTCAGTAGTTTGTGTAATGGTGGTGGTAGTTGTCACCGGTGACAACAACAACCAGTGTTAGTGGCGGTCGTCGAAGAGGAAAAAGCTTTTTGAAAAAAATGCAATTAATCACAAATGATTACGAAAATCGACATTAAAATATAAAGAAAGGAATAAGTTAGGAAGGAAACATGAACCTTGGAGGAGGAAATCAACAACAACAGCAACAACAACGCCGATGGCCAGAAAGGGGAAGTTTCCGGTGGCCGCCGATATCACTTCTACTATGGGTTGTTAATTGAGGGAGAATCGAGAAAATGGAACAAAATGAGAGCAGATCGAAGGTAGAAAGAGGAAGGGACGGGGTGTAATCTGCGTCGACCTTTAACTACGACACCCAATAGCAGCGACAACTAAAGCAATACTAGCGATACAAACCAATAGCGACGACATACGAACAGAGAAAAAAAAAAGATACGTTTAATTCGACTTTCAACGACGACAGTTTTAGGTCTTTAGCGGGGACTTTGTGTCGTTGATATTGGTTTTGTGCATTCCACAAGTACCCTAGCCATTGGATTAGAAACATGATCGAACGGTTGGCGTTTACCTGAAGGTGAAAATGCGGATTCGGGTCACTAAGCATTAGTGACGACGCCTTTAGCGGCGACAAATACCTTTAGTGGCGACAAATTGATAAGTCGCCGCTAAAAGTCTTTGTCGCCGTTATTGGTGTCGTTGGTAATGATTATATTTCTTGTAATGTGTATGCATACCAATAAACCATTTTCATGAGTGTCTTTAAGCATGTATTATGGGGTGTGTGTTTGTTTGTATACCTAATATATATATATATATATATATATATATATATATATATATATATATATATATATATATATATATATATATATATATATATATATGGGGGGATAGGGAATATAAATTACAATCCCACCTATACTTAAGTACTAAACCTTTAAACTATGTGGTTTTAACGTAGTAAATGTATCTGTTTCAATTTTCACTTGGTAAATATACCACCCCCATAACATTTCTTTCCTCCATTATCGTTTAACCATCCCGGTTTTCTTTCCTTCATTATCGTTTATTATATTACCTCAATAAACATTACTATTTTTCACCGTCATGAAGGTCGAATATAATCAATATTCTTGCTTATTTATCAAAATTATTGCTTCAATAATGTGTAGCTTCAAGTGTTAATCGTGAATCCCCAAATCAAAAACTTTAACTAATAAAACGATATAGTTTCATGAGGTTTGACACCTAAGTTTATGTGAAACTGTAATGTATATTTGTTCCATATATATATATATATATATATATATATATATATATATATATAGAGAGAGAGAGAGAGAGAGAGAGAGAGAGAAAGAAAGATAAAGAGAGATGACATGATGGGGGTGGTGTAGGATCAGGAAGGTTGTATACTTATTCTACATTTAATATAAAAAAAATATTAAAAGAAAAGATAGAAATATATATATATATATATATATATATATATATATATATATATATATATATAAAAGTCATTTTCGTTTTGAAAAAAACTAAATCCACAGCCAAACAATGCAAAAGGACCAAATCCATAGTTTTTCCTAAGGAGACCATGACTTAAAAGGGTAATATATTATTCGATTTGTACACATTTGGTCACTGAGTTTATTTTTTGTTCACATTTACCCCTTCAACTTGTTAAATTTTACACATTTAGTCCTTATGACCAGTTATTTCAGGTTAACCGGTAAAAATATCTTAATAGGGTAATATATTTCTAATTTTGTACACATTTAGTCATTAATATTTTTGTACACATTTAGTCCTTAATTTTTTTTGTTGCAAAATAATTTATTTTTGGTTTTATACTCATTCAATACTTATGAATGCTTTCTTTAAGTTTTTCTCACAACATCTTACATGAAACAATCATTAACGAGGTGTTTTAGGCTTTTGATGCTTATGTCCATCACGATCTCGACTACCTGGTTGCTTAGGTCATGTGTTTCGAACGTCATAACTTTTTCATACTATCTCGGATTTTAACGATCTTTATATTTATGTGTTTGTATTTTAGTCTACTACAACTTTCGTTTATATCATTCACGTTAAAAAGTAATATATTTTTTAATTACGATCTTTATATCCATACATTTTTTATGAATGCATGTATGGATGTTTTTTTTATAAAATCGTAAGTAAAAACATATTATATTCTAATGGGAGTAATCTTAACGAAAGTTTTAGCAGACTTAAAAAACGAACACGTAGATATAAAGATCGTTAAAATCAGATATCGTATGAAGAAGTTATGACGTTCGGAATACAAAACCTAAGCCAAACCACAAGACCTATGCAACCAATCAGTCGAGGCTGCAATGGACATAAGCATTAATAACCCCAAACACCTCATCAATCAGGGACGGACGTAGGATTTGGTAGTAAGTGTTGCCGGTAAGTAGAAAAAAGAAAAAAAATCGAAAAATTTACACTGTGTATGAAAAAAGCAGGGGTTGTCGGTGCCACTGCGGGTACCCAAAGAGAACCGTGCATGCCATCAATGATAGTCTTATGTTAGATGTCGTGAGAAAAACCCAAAATAAATCATTCATAAATACTGAATTTGTACAAAAACAAAAAATGACTTATTTTGAAACAAAAAAAATATGAAGGACTAAATGTGTACAAAAATATTAAGGACTAAATGTGTACAAAATGAGAAATATATTACCGTAATAAGTCATTTTTCCCGGTTTAACCTGAAGTAACCGATCATAAGGACTGGATGTGTACAGTTTAACAAGTTGAATGGGTAAATATGAACGAAAAAGAAACTCAATGACCAAATATGTACAAATCAAAAAATATATTATCCTTTTAAGTCATTAACCATTTTCCTTAATGTGGACCTTAGCAATAAAATGTCAAACCACATGGACCTATTTTGAGTCAAACCACATGGACCCATTTTGCAATCTTTACTAAGAAAAATAAGAGCTTAAAAGTTAGGTATAGGAGATCAATGAACAATAATATAACAAAATGAAACCAAAATGACCAATTATGTCGTGTTTTTTATAATTTCCATGAAAATATACTTTTTGGGAAACATGTGTAGATCAATCTTGTAATTTTGTATAATTTTTTTTTTCTTGAGGCCTCTTATGTAAAATTGCGCAGAAAAGTCTTTCTTACCGTTGTGTCTTTCACACGACGGTAGGACCTTGAACCTAATAAATTTTTTTTCTTTTTTCTATCTAAGCTGATATGACTTACATGGCATAAAGAGAATGAATAGGTTAATTTTTTGTTGGATGTTTTATTGGTTGCGTTTTTTTTTTCTATGTTCGACAGATCGACAATGCACAGACCGCCAATGCAGGTTCCTTTCCCTTCACTCGTTTCTTTGCTTTTTCCCCCCGTTTAGTTGTTTCATGTATTTATAAATCTTCTTTTCTAATAAATTAGTTGTGAGACCCGTATATTATACGGGCTGATTAAAACAAAATGTTAATATAAACGATTAAAAATGAAATTTATTTGAATATGAAATTTGAAATAACTGAAAATTAAAAAAAAAAAAAATTAAATAAAGAATTATGTGTTTAATTATTATAACAAAATGTTAAACACAAATGTTTAAACTATAAATTTATTTGAAATTGAAATTGAAATTTGAAATTAATAGTCATTATGGTTGGTTTAATTTATGAAAACTAAATTAATAATATATTAGAAATGAAAATTAAGTAAATGACAGGTGAACAATAAATATATTTCAAAATGATAACAAAATGACAAATGGACAACTGAGAGAATCTCATATGACAAAAAACATTCTTATTTATTAGGTTAGATGAATATAAATTTTGCCACTTGTTATTTATTTTTACTTCTTTATAATTTTTAATTTCATTTCTCATACTTCTTAGAAAGATACATCTTTTTCTATAATTTTACATTTAAATTTAAATCTTACTGTAAATCCTTAAAATTAATATTATTAATAAAGATTTTAAAATTCAAAATATTTATTAATCAATAAAGTGATCCTTGATAGAAAGAAATAATCAATTATAAATAATATTTTTATCCTATTTATTTTGTTTTCCTTTTTTTAGATTTTTATAAATATCTTTTTATGAATTTGTTTAAAATATTTTTGTTACAATTATTATCGAATATCATTTTAGTTTATCTAATACACATCACAATCTAGTTTGTTATATTTGTTTTGGGATCTATATTCATTGTTTGATAGAATCTAGAATGCTCAAAACACAATTAACTTTAACTAAACTCAGGGACACAATTAACTTCAACTAAACTTGGGGATGAAATTAAACAAAATTATATTATTACAAAATCATTAAACTATCCAACTATCAAGAAGTCAATCAAGCTTGAGCCGATCGGTAGTTAATATGATTATAATAAAAATTAATATCACCTAACCCTAGACAAAACATAAAGAGATGGATATCCAATTTATCAATTTATTGGGGAACAAAACGCGCTTTTATCGTTTTTGAAGAAAGAAAAACCATATGCGATGATATGCAACTCACCTCGGCCCTGATAGAATAGAAGGCAACACCGGTTTCGAGTTTTTCTCATGTTCATCTGTTATTTTCTGCAGTCTTGGATACAAGAAGTTGTAATCCAAGTTTGATTCAACATTCATTACTCCCTCTAACACCTTAACCACCGATGACATTGAAGGCCTTTTCGTAAAATCAGTCTGTAAACACCATGAAGCCACTTTCATCATCTCCATAACTTCTGCGCCATTTACCTGCATATCTTTACTGGACCTGTCAACTATATCCAACAATGTCCCCTGTTCCCAACACCTCTGGAAGACGCACAGTAAATGCCAACTGTCTTGTGGCTGAGATCTATCAAAGTTCTTCCTCCCACATAAGATCTCCAAAAGAACAATCCCAAAGCTATATACATCCATCTTTTCAGTGATAATTGAGCTCAACCATTCCGGAGCCATATAGCCAGGGGTTCCTCTCATTGTAGTAATCACATGGCTTTGATTTCTATCGATGAGCTTAGCCAATCCAAAATCAGATACTTTGGCATTGAAATGTTCATCCAGGAGTATGTTTTGAGGTTTAATATCGAGGTGGATGATTTTTTGGCTACAATCTTCATGGAGATATGCTAAACCTTTAGCAATATCAAGAATAATCTTCTTTCTACGTACCCATTCAAGTACGGGATTTCGGTCTCCATGGTAGATCCACTGGTCTAATGATCCGTTACTCATGAATTCATACACAAGAAGCCGTTCTGATCTCCAAGCACAAACTCCTCTAAGTCGAACTAGATTCACATGATGAATGCTGCCAATTGACTCAACCTCCGCCAAGAATGATTTTTTAACGTTCACAAGACCATGAAGACATTTTACTGCAATCCTCGAGCCATCTTCGAGAGTCCCTTCAAAAACTGATCCAAATCCTCCCTCGCCAAGCTTTTTACTGAAATTTTTTGTGGATGTTTTCAGCTCTTCATAGGAAAACCGAGTTGGCATTCCTGGCACTTGATCTAAGTACTCTTCTTCTGTTTCACTATCCGTTTTTTTCTTTTTGACTATGAACATAGTAAAACCTATTACTACAATAAGAAGCACCAAACTTCCAATTGTGGAACCTATAACTGTGGCAACATTAACTTTAAAGGAAGGAGATGATCTTACATTCTGGACTTTTATAAAAGCTGAAGAATTAAGACGCATTTCATGTGCGTCAAGTTTCGTCATTGTAAAAAGCTCTGAAGGTAAAGAGCAATTTCCACTTGAAGAATTCGAACCATACTCAAATATAGCTGCTTTGCATGAACACTTTCCCAGACACGCCTGCTTACAAGTCTCCATATCCACATCCTCCATGTCGGCAGTGTAGGTGAAGTACTTGACGTTCTTGAGTTCAATGAAATGTTGATCTTGTGTAGCGTTACATGTGAGAGGATTAACTTGAGAGCAACCCATGTTGGGTTCGCTATCATTAACTGCCCTAAAAGAGTCCATCCCCGGAAAGCTTGATCTTGGACAACTACATTCTTGATTACCCGAGCAAATGCCATTTCTCCCACAAGCCAATGGATAAAAACACCCTCCTAGATCACCGGTTAATAGATCGGCTACTATCGCCCCTCCTTCGAAAGCATCCCATCCAAACACTTTCAAATGTCCATCTGGCATTAATTTTATAAACTGAAATGGGAAGGCTGGAGGTATATCAATCACACTCTTACAATAATTTGGCCTTGTAGAAAAAATAAAGAAACACAAACTCCTATCTAAGAATACTACATAATTTTCTGGATTTATGCCATTTACCAACTTACGGAAATAGACTTGAGGTGGGTTTGATTCCACATAAGCAAACAGACCTTTGTCGGTGACTTGAAGAGAGAATAAATCTTTTTGAGCAGTCCAGTCGGTTAATGAAACACTAGGTATGAGCTTCTGTCCTTGAAATAGTTTTTGCCCAGCTACCAAACAGTCTGTAGGGTGATCAAATGATTGCCAAACCATCGAGTTATGGTCATCGAACAACATCAGATTTCCTTTATCAGTTAGGTTCATGCCAGCAGTAGATTGTCCATTAGTGTTTGTTGTCCAAACTATGCTTCCATCGACATCGTGTAACACCAATTCTCCAGCTTCATTGAGACTCAGTATTGCACCTTCCCTGACTGGATTGTCACGGTTGGCTGACCAAATGACCTCTGGAGAGTCTTTGTTGGTGTACGGAACAACTTGAGGATTAACCACCATAAATAAATTGATAATAATTGCAAAGAGATAAGATGTGCATGTTCCATTACAGAAGAAGCCACATGTGAACATAGGTAAACCGCTTGTCCTAAGGAGGATGACTCTGATCCTTGAGCCATCTGTGAAATTGATGGAACGGAGAGAAGATTCATCATTGATCCATGTGGTTGGAAGATTGGCAGTAGGAAAGTAGAGAGGTTGAGTATCAATGGATGAGAAGATGAGAAAGAAAGCAAAGAAAAAGCCAGAGATCCATGGTTCCCTCATCACTAATAAGCACACAACTGCCTATGAAAATGAACACTTGATTTACACATCTAATCTAACATTTATTGAATGTTTCAAGAACTTGAGTTTGTGCTAACGTTGACTCATTCCAGGCCAAGTTTCCTTCTAATTAAATGGTGAAAATCTTAAATCATGTTGTATTCTTCCTCATTTCCAAAATGCTCACTATATAAGTTGTTAGGCGGCCAATTATAATTTTTTTTAAATAGGGCAAACTACAGTTTTCATCCCTGTGGTATGCTGGAAATTACGGAAATTGATGGATTTATTGGCCAAACTCTTGGTGCAAAAGAGTATAACTAGCAGCCAAATTAGTATGAAAAATGTCATAGTATTTCTAAGGTGTTGTTTGTTTTTTGGAAAAAACCTCTTCAAACCTCTTACTGCTGCGCGGCGCAGCACACGCGCAACACTTTTCATGTCGCAACTGTTTGTTTTTTAGAAGTCTTCTGAGTCAAAAACCTCTGCGCGTGCTCTGTTTGGCGCAACACTTGTACTGCCTCTTCCAACCTCTTCTTCTTCTTTTTTTATTGCTGAAATTTTGATTATATGTTATTAAAATTTTATTTCACATTTTTTCCCTTTTTTTTTCGTTTATTCTTATTGAATTTATTTTTTATTTTTTTTATATTCAATAATGATAATTTCTTGATGAAATATCATTATTTTTTACTGAAAATATCTTTATTTTTTTGTTGAAATATCATTCTTTTTTACTGAAATATCATTAATTTTTACCGAAATGTTATACATTATTAAATTTTACGTATTAAAAAGCTATTTTCGGTTTATAAAATTAGTTTATTTTAATTTTTTAATATCTGCAGCAGTATACAGATGTTAAAAAAACAAACACGCTTCTTATTATAGTCTGCAGCCGTTTGGTCCACCTCTTCTACTGCAGAGGGTTGCAGAGGTGGTCCGCAGACTTCACGAATTTTTGCTTCAGAAAATCAAACAGCACCTAAATGTTTGTATTTTAAGCAAATAATATAAAGGGAAGAGTAAATGGTCATGCCGTAATGTTGTATATTAACGGCCAAAACTAGCACCATCCATTACATGGACGAAAAATGTTATAGAAAGTAATTTAAAGGATGAGAAACGTTAAAAACATAAAATTTTTGACAAAATTTAAAATTTTCAGTGAACCAAAATTGTAATTTACTAAAAGAATATGGTCAAGTCTTAGAATATGTATTGTAATGTACTATAATATGATATTTGAGATGATAGAGACTTCTGGTAGTCGTCAACAGGAGGACCACATCTAATCAAGGGCCACTCATTATCAGTCATCTTGTTGTCTTAATTGATTATCGTTAAGTCAAATATTCTTCTTAAAAAAACGTTATCCTTAGCATGGTACTAATATTTGTGATTAATCAAACACAATTTTTTTAGAGAAATCATTGAACACGTTGGAATGTCTTCAATGTAAACCATCACATACCCTTGTTGATAGAATTGTCAAGCTGAGGTCACAACAAGATTGATCCATATACCCAAGTCATACTTACTATCGAACTCTTGCAGGTGCACTACAATACCTTAACACCAGGGGCGGCCCAACTAATTTAGAGGCTCTAAGCAAATAAAAAATTGGAGCCCTTTATGTAAGCAAAAGGTTATAAACTTGAGACTTTTAGTTTTATAAACCAGTGCTTTTACCACCAAGTCAAGCTTCAACTTGTATTTATATTCCAAAAAATATGTATATATACATATATATAACAGAATAAACTTTGAAATTAGGGGCCCTTTAGAATTGGGGGCCTAAGCCCTTGCTTAATTTTTCATGATGTAGAGTCGGCCTTGCTTAACACGTTCTGAAAGATTTTATGTTGTTATACAAATTTTCCTTCACATGCAAAATCCATCAACATGTCACATGAATGCCCTCCAACTTATCATTCAATATGTGCATGGTACTTTGTCTCACGAAATCAAAGTCATCACATCTTCTATGTTATACGGATGTATATTGGGTGGTTGTCTAAAGATTGTGTGTTTTTTGGTGGCAGTCTTATCTTTTGGTCGTCAAAATGACAACATATTTTAGCACGACCGAGTGCAAAGGCTGAATATCAAGGGCGTTGTAAATGTTGTTTCTGACTACAAAATTTATTACTAGAGCTTCACATTCCTCTCACGAAAGACACTATTGTTTATTGTGACAACGTTATTGCAATTTATCTTAGGGGGAATCAATCAAACACTAACGAACAAAGCATATTAAGATGGATATACCACCCTTATTTATCCATCATCCACAACCTCCACCGTGAACAAAAACAAGATCTTCACCATACGAACATACTATTCATCATCATCTCCATAAGAACTTAAACCCTCCATCACATGACCCCAAACTTATTCTTCTTTTCAGCCACCTTCCCACCACCATCCTTACCACATAATCGTTGACCATCACCTTGTTGTGGCCAATCCTATTCTTCCTCCAAATCGGAAGACCGCTCTTCTATGTCTTCCTCTTTTCTCGCCTCAATATCCTATGCCTACTTCCAATCAACAAGTTTTTTTATTTTATCACCATCCTGCACAATTGATATCTGATTGAGATCAACAATATATAATTCTATCATATTGAGAAAAAAGTGAAGAACATACCTTAGAATCTCAAGGTATTCGAATATGAGTTCATCACTCACTCCCATGGTATCCAAAAGCTCCGACCCATTCTTAAACTAAATGAATGACTTTCCTTCGGATCACAACAACTCCGATCGAACCCCCAATCCTAACTACTTGTTCTTCTTATGTAGTGATCGATCGAATCTTTGTAGCGAAACAATGGTGAGGAGGCAGGTGATTCCTTCTCCATCGATGACTACTTCTTTCTTCTGGGTATCGTATCTAACACTAACACTAACGATTGTTATAGATGTGAGTTTGATTCGTTTGGGGTTTCGGAGGAAGAAGGATGTGGGGAAGAAGACGAAGACAAGGTAGCGGTGTTATTTTATTTCTAAATAATTTTATTTAAAAAATATAAAATAAATTAAAAAATATGAAATGAAATGATAGGGATCTTTGATGAGTTCGGAAAAGTTAAAGGAGGAAAAACCACATGGACCTTTTATGAAGATTTGTCTTCTTTTATTTGTTTATTATTTATTAATCTAAAAAACTAATTTAAGTGATTTATAGTCATATAGGACCACTCACACCACTACCACCGGTCAGCGAAAACCACCAATAGTTTGGTCACCACCACCACCCACCTATTCAGGTCGCCAACAACATCATCGATGTGATACCCCAGTTACCTGTTAGTAATTTTAGTTTATCAGGATATTTTAGTGTAACTATTATTGTTGTCGAGACAGGTCGAGTTTAATTTACTATCCAAGACTGGGTGGACACTTGAAGTGTTAAATGTGAATTTGGGTATATGAGGGTATGAGGGCAGCGCCCCTGGGTACAGGGTTCGAAGGAGAAACACCCTTGGTGGGGTCTAGGGGCAGCACCCCTTGCAGGGTCTAAGGGGCAAAGCCCCTGGTGATGGTTCCTAGTGATGACATCATGGTGATGTAGGCATTAGTTGTATAAAAATTACCCTTTTGGTGCCAATTTGGTGTAACGAACATTTAACCACTTTTTCTTCCTTTTATAAATGAAATATAAATGTTTCGGGAAAAAGGTTGATCATTAATATATACGAAATTGATCATTTGTTATTTTCTATCTCACAAGAACACAAAACGTCAGTGTCATTTATGTTTTATGGTTTGGATTAGGCTTGTGATCCAAATCAGATTTCTTGGTCTTATCTCACTTATGAATTCGTGTAACCCCAGACCATAATGGACGAATTACAGATTTCGAAAAGTGATATAATCACGATCCAAGTAATATCCGACTATTATTGTTATTCTTAAATCTTTATATCTAACATTACCTCTAACAACCATGACCATTTACCTCCAATAACAACCATCATATACCTCCTGCAACTACCCTCAGTCACCACCTATACCAAATCAAATGAAATCGAAACTAAAACCAAGATGAAATCCTAGGAATCAAAAATATACCAAGATAAAATCTTGAAATCAAAACCTACCCAAAGTTAAATCTTGAAATTAGAACCTAAGCTAACATCAAAATCCAAAGCCAAAACCTAACATGAAATCAATGATGAAAGAAAAACATGATGAAATCCTAGAATCAAATTGTAACACCCCGTTTTCCGATAAGTAGTTTTCTTTGAATAATAATAATAATAATAACAATAATAATAATAATAATAATAATAATATTGAAAAATGATTTATTTATTTTATAATGCAAAAAGGAGAGATTATGAGTTTTGGGGTGGAAAGTGTCAAATGTCAAAACTTGTGTTGTAAAAGAATGGGAGTTAAGGGCTATCTTTGCCATTATGGAAAAATTGGGCATGCATAGACGATTTTAAATTTTTTAATCAAGGGATCGGTCCCTTTGGCAGGCCACTCACTTATTTTGGACTCATTAAATCAAGTTGAAGTGCAACCCTAATGTCTATTGGTGAAAACGTGTGTATGTGCGTTTGCTTAAAGCCGAGAAAGAGAAAGAAGCGGGAAAAAGGAAGAAGGAAGGGTGATATCGGCTGTGGTGATAGGAGGGAGGAGGGAGGTCGTTTTCCATGTTCTAGAGGAGGAAGAGAAGGGTGTTTGGGTGGTGGAAGATCAAGCAAGCAAGGAGGTAAGGCCATTTTTCTTTTCAACACTTCTTTTCTCCTCCTTTTTCTAAAATCACCACCACCAACATTGGTGGTGGCAACCACCGTCGACCACCATTGCCATGGTGGTAGTGGGTGGTGGTTCTCATTGTTTTTCTGGAAGTCTAGGGGCGTTTGGAGCTGTTATGGTGTGCAAAACCCTAACCCTAGTTGTCAAGTCCTAACTTTGGCAATCTACTTTGTCTCTCGTAAAAAGCTATCAACTTTGGATTGTTGGGATTGGCACTTTTGTTGT